AACACTTGTTTTTGGACTCGTTTTTGGACGCCGCGCGGAGATGCTACAAAAGTCCTCAAAAATCGCCTAAACCAATCCACAAATCCTTCGCCCCTTTTAAGGGCGGGCCCAGCGCAAAAACGCATGCTCACTGAAGGTAAGCCCTCCGGGCTTGGCCTGCGCCCGATCACGTCCGGTGGCCGGATTTACCGTTGCTGGCGCACAAGGCCGGTTGCGTCGCGAGGCTCAACTTCACAGCTCTTGCAAGGGCGGCTAAGCAGGCAGCACAACAACATTAAGTAACATTCATTTCCTTACTTGCGCACACACACACATCCATTTTCCATCTACAACATGTTCCATCAATTTTCTTTCCATTTCCCGTCATTTCGGCACGTCCCCTTTCACTGCCCGCCCGCAGGCACGCAGGCACACGCGCGCAAGCACACACGCGGGCGCGCGCGCGCTCTCACGCACGCACACCCACCCACCCACGCACGTACCCACACACAGGCACACACACACACACAGCAGACACATGCGCAAACACACCCACCCACCCACCCACGCACGCGCTCACGCACGCACGCACACACGCACCCACCCACTCCACAGACAGACAGACAGACAGACAGACAGACAGACAGACAGACAGACAGACAGACAGACAGACAGACAGACAGACAGACAGACAGACAGAGACAGACAGACAGACAGACAGACAGACAGACAGACAGACAGACAGACAGACAGACAGACAGACAGACAGACAGACAGACAGACAGACAGACAGACAGACAGACAGACAGACAGACAGACAGACAGACAGACAGACAGACAGACAGACAGACACACACAACCCCACACAGCCACACACAGCCACACACAGCCACACACAGCCACACACAGACACACACAGACACACACACAGACACACACAGACACACACAGACACACACAGACACACACAGACACACACAGACACACACAGACACACACACAGACACACACAGACACACACACACACACACACACACACACACACACACACACACACACACACACACACACACACACACACACACACACACACACACACACACACACAGACACAGACACACACACACCACACACACATCACAGACACACACACACACAGACACACACACACAGACACACACACACAGACACACGCACAGACACACACACAGACACACACACACAGACACACACACAGACACACACACACACAGACACAGACACAGA